GGCCACCTTCTCTCGCACCTGTGTGAGATGGATTGCGAGCGAGCTGAACCCCAGCGATGAGCCCAGCCGATGGTTCGACACGCCTGCTGAGAAGGCGGCTGCAGCTGCGCTGGGAGCCCACCGGCGTGAGGCTCACGGAGAGGTGCCTGAGGCGTGTAGCAGCGCCTCCCGCGCTGGCTGGTGCAGGCGCGCCTGGCTCCCCCCCGCCGCCGGCGAGCCGGCTCCCGAGAGACAGCTGCAGCGTCGGAGCGGCCCGGTGCCCAGCGCGGTCGTCGGGCCATGGCAGAGTGGCGGCGGCCCAGGTTACCTCGACAAGGCGGCTGCGCGGCTCATCGACGAGGTCTCGCCGATCCCCTGCGAGGTCGAGAGGCCTCCTCCCGCCTCTGGCGGCTGGGGCGAGGGACCGGGCTCGAGCGAGGATCGCTGGCACTGGTGGGCCGACCGTCCTGGAGCAGGAGAGCGCAACGGCGAAGACCAAGGAGGACTACGAGCGGAGGCTGGAGCGGTTCTTCGGCTTCTGCAGCATCAACGGCCTGGCGCTCGACACCGACCTGCTGCTCGAGGAGGCCCTGGTGGAGTACATGGACCTCCTGTTCGCGCAGGGGGAGCCCTGCAACAGCGGGGCCAAGCTGCTGGCGGCGGTGGGCCATCGCTGGCCAAGGCTCCATCATGCCGGGCGGTTGCTGAAGCTGCCGAGGGTTGCGAAGGCGCTGCAGGGCTGGCGACGCCTGGTGCCGCCCGTGACGCGGGCGCCCGTGCCGCGGGCCGCCGTGGCGGCCATCGCGCTGGCCCTGGTCAGGTGCAAGCAGCCACTGGCGGCTCTGGCAGTGGTGCTGGCGGCAGACGCCTACCTTCGGCCAGGCGAGCTGCTGTCGCTCCGGGCCAACCATGTGGTCCCAGCCCAGGCGACGGCCGGGGGCGACTACCGCTTCGCGTCGCTGGTGCTGAGGCCAGAGGAGGAGCTGCAGCCGACCAAGACGAGAGGCTTCAACGACTCGATCCTTCTGGACAGCGGGTCGAGGCCCTACCTGGGCGTGCTGGTGGAGCGGCTGGCGAAGCAGAAGGGCTTCTCGGCGGAGCTCTTCTTTCCGTGGTCGGCCGCGGCTTTCACTGCCATGTTCAAGCGTGCCGCGGCCGACGTCGGCCTGGAGGCTTGGGAACTCACGCCGTACATCCTCAGACATGCAGGCCCGTCACACGACTGGCTGACCAAGGCTCGGCCCCTGGACGGCATCAAACGGCGCGGAAGGTGGATCTCCGACATGAGTGTTCGGAGGTACGAGAAGAGCTCGCGGGTAATGCGGCGCCTGGCGACACTGCCGCGAGATTGCCAGCTGCTGTTGGCCGAGTCGGCCAACAACCTCGAGGCAGGGCTCAGGTTCGGGTACGTCGGCAGGTTCGAGAGCAGGCGCCAAGACGCAGGCCTCGTGTGAGGCCCCTGTTTTTGGAGCTGTTTTCGGGCAAGCGCGGCCTTTCCCGGGCCATGTCTCGCAAGGGCTGGCAATCGGCCACTTGGGACATCCGGGACTCTCCTAAGCAAGACTTGTCAAAAGAAGCAGTAATTAGGCGCGTGTTGAAATGCATACCCAGCGCAGGCTGGGTGCATCTCGGCACGCCATGCAGCAGTTGTTCTACAGCACGTCGTGGCAAGCATGGCAGTTCCGGGGGCCCCCTCAGGTCCAAAATGTATCCTGAAGGCCTTCCTGAGCTTTCTGGCATAGATGCGGCCAAGGTGTCGATCGGAAATCGTCTGGCCCAGGCTTCATTCCGTATCATTCGATGCTGCGTCCAGTTTAACGTGCCTGTGTCCTTGGAGAACCCCAGGTCGTCTTGGCTGCGGCAGCAGCCGGGGCTGGCCCCTTTGTTGCGCAGAGCTTGTCCGGCGAATGCTGCATACTGCAAATTCGGAACCCCGTGGCGAAAGGCCACTACTATTGCCTGTTGGAATGCTGGCCGCCCAGCCGCCCATGTGCGCTGGAACCCCTGCGCGCGGAGTGCAATGGTCCTCGCTGCAAATATTCTGGTGATCGGCATCAGGTTTTAGAAGGCAAGGCGCCAGGAGGCAAACTTTGGACGTTGGTCGCAGAGCCTTACCCTCCTCGCTTAGTTTCCTTGTGGGCGTCTTGTGTCGACGCCTCGAGACAATGATGTGGACCCCATCGCCTGTTGCGCGGCGTGATGATAACTGCGTTTCGCTGCTTGGGTCTCCGCGGCGTGCTTGCATTGTTGGAAATTTCGGCTGAAAAGGGCCGCCTCAACCGCCAGGTCGCTAGATATTGGCGGATATCGGCCAGGTGGCCCAGCTGGTCCTTTTCTTTTGTCTCTCTGCTGCTGCCAGACAAGCCCGGCCGCAGCTGCAGCGAGAGTAGCCTGGCCTGAGGAAAAATGGAGCATGTAGCAACGTGCAACAGTGTGCAATGCTGAATGTCTCCGCGCTGGCCGCAACTGTCTGTGCTCAAGCGGTTTTCGAGCCCAACCACTCCACTTCGCGCCTCTCTCAGAGCGCTCTCGCACTTCCGCAAGCGCGGCAGTTGCTAGAGGCAAGGTGGCCCAGCTGGCCCTTTTCTTTTGTCTCTCTGCTGCTGCCAGACAAGCCCGGCCGCAGCTGCAGCGAGAATAGCCTGGCCTGAGGAAAAATGGAGCATCTACATCTTCCTTCACCCTCCTCCTCCGCCTGCGTTTGATGCACATTCTAATGGTCCTTTTCCATGCTCACCGGTCAGCATCCTTCCCCTCGTCCTCATCGTCCTCTTCCTTGTCCTTCCGCCCCTCCTCCTCCTCCTCCTCTTCCTCCTCCTCCTCCTCCCTCCTCCTCCCCAGCGTGCGACTCATTCCCTGGCAGCCGCCCATCGGCGTGCGGCATCCGCTGGTCGCCAAGCTCTCATTGACAAGGAACGTCGGCCCGGACGTGACGTGTCCTCCCCCCATGAAGAGCTGCAAAGAGAGGGTCGTGGCAAGGCCCAAGAACAAAAAAAACAGATCGCACGCAAATCGCCATAGTTTGCTTGCCTGCACTAGCTCCAGGCCGCCCTCTACATCGACAACTTCGATAAGACCATCCTCAAGCGCCTGACAGCATGGTTCCCGCCAATCGGTGCGCTCCCGTCTGCTCGCTCTTCCGACGACGCCGTCTTCGCCGCGCGGCCCATGCCGACGACTACCGTGCCCTCACAGACGCCCACCGCCGAGCAGTCCCTCGCCTGCATGAACGAGCGTGCTGAAGCTTGGGCCGCCCGATGGATCCCGAGCGTCTACTTGGACTCCAGCTACGACGACTACCGCGACTGGATGGAGTGGTGCGTCCCCTGCCGCACCATCTGCCTCCGTCGCCCGCAATTTGACGACATGTCCGACATCGCCGTCGGCCCTTGGCACGATGGCGGCCGCCGTCACGCAGTCGCTTTCGAGATCTGCGAGCGTCGATGGCACAGCGCGTCCTGTGCCCGCAGCCGTCGGTATTCACTCTGCCAGTCTAGCCACCCGACAGCGGCGGCACAACGCGAACGAGACGAAGGGGTTGCTGAGAATCGCGCCCGGGCCGCCGCTGGCTCACCACCCAAGAACTACGCGATGAAGACCTCCGGCTTCCTGAAGACACCACCCAGGGCGGCAACAGCAACCAGAACATCGACATGCTGGACATCGACGACTGGCCTCCTTCGCTCGCTGCTGGCTGGTCCGTGCTTCGACGGCATCTCGCACGAGCCCCTCCGTCACAGCTCTGGCCCGTCAAGATGCTGGCGGGTACCTGGACTATGAGCTACCACGTGCACATCAACCCCTTCAAGCACACGTGTCTATTCGGATGCCCGACCATCAAGAGCAATAAGGACACGGATGACATCGCGCACTACATCACGTGCCCGAAGATGTGGAGTTAGTTTTGCCTTTCGCGCGGACAAGTCTCGCCGAACGTCATCACACGCCTGGGCCTTAACGGAGAGCAGATCGATGACAACGCCGTCCCGCACGCCATCGCCCACCTGGCCGTGACATTCAAGTCCTGTAAATCCCTGCGCGTCCAGAGCGCCGTGAACGTCGGCTCGGCCTCCATCAACGAGGCCAGGGCCCCCGCCCTCCCGTCCTACGACACCTACGACAAGAACAAGGCGGCCATAGCCGCCTCGCGACGCGCCCTGAGGCTTCCTCCCAGACTCGCGGGCGGCGCGGGGCCGCGCAGGCCGTGAAGAGATAGACGTCCGCAAATAGACGTTCGCTCTCCTTCCTCGGGCCACTAGGGCGCTCAGGCGGTCCCGTTTTCGGTTTCGATCAAGCGCTCCGCGCGCGTTGCATCGGGCTGCGCCGCGGTTGGAGCATCGGGTTCTGAAAGAGTAAACCAACGAGAGTGATGCCCATCCTTGCATGGCTCAGCCTCGGACAGTGACCATGCCTGGTAGCGAAGCGCGCTGGGGCTCTGCATCAATGTGCGTGCGTGCGCGCATGAAGAAGATCAGTTGCCAGTCGTGGCCAGCTTCTTGATCATCCCTACCGCTGTTTTGTAAGTCTCGCTTTTCTGGTGTCTACATACTCTTGCCTCTTCGGTTCCCGGGCATGCGGCTCTGCGATCGTGTCCAGCTGTCTGCCCTGGTTTAGCGCTTGTCGCTGCGCGTCGGATGAGACATGATGCCGTGGCCAGCGGAAGTGTGTGACGACGGGTCTTGGGGTCCTCGCCGCGCGCTGTCGTGGGGTAGTGGCGATGCCATGTGAAATTGCGTCGGCGATGTCTGAAGTGGGCTGGTCTGCTCGAGCGTGCGATCACACGTCGCAGCCACGTCACGATTGAACATGTGCCGTTTCTCCTCGCTCCACTCTTGCGTTTCCCATTCATCTCCTCCCAACCACTCCTCATTCCTCACTGTTCCTTCCTTCCCGATCTTTCCTTTGACTCTTCCATCATTATCGTGCTCCCCTCTCTCTTCCTTTGGCTCTCCGCTTCCTCTCCTAACCTTCTTCTCTTCCAATCCTCTGCCGCCCGGGCTGAATCTCAACATTTCACCAAGGGCAGCGACGTTTTGAACTTCGGCCAGCTGGTGCCCCACGAGACCGCGCGCGAAACTGGCAAGCTAGTCGTGGGGGGGGGTACAATTTCGCCAAACTGTCTTGTCCACCCATCCCTCTCGCCCTCGCATTCCTTTCCCCATCCCCCTTCCCCTCCGCTTCCTCCCCTGTTCCCCCCACCATTCCCCCATCGCCCTCTCTCTATCCTCCCATTTCCCCTTCCGTCCTTTTACTTGCAACGCGTCATCCAGGTTCGGTTGCTGGAATCTTAGAAAGAGAGAGAGAGAGAGGGAGAGAGAAAGAGAGAAAATACAGAGAGAGAGATACTGGACGGGAGGAAGAGATGGATGCAGAGAGGGAGAGAGGGAGAGGAAGCGAGGGAGGGGGAGAGGAGGGAGGGATGAGAGAGGTGTTGGTTTGCTGCTCGGGCTTCGCGGATGCACGCCTACACGCGATCTAAAAGCGTTCACGGGCGTTTAACACGCCATACTCGCGCTAGGCGATGGGTGCACAGGGATGAGATGTTTTGTGTCGTGTGTATCTCTCTTTGTCTCGCTATTGTTTGTCTCTCTCTCTCTCTCTTTCTGCCTCTCTCCCGCTCTCTCTCTCTCTCTCTTTCTCTCTTTCTGTTTATGTATCGTTATCCTTTTCTATATGTCTCTCTCTCTCTCTCTCTCTCTCTTCTCGCTCTATTTCTGTCTCTGTCTCTGTCTCTCTCTCTCTCTCTCTCTCTCTTCTATTTCTCCACACCATACGACATAGGACCCCTGGGAACGCCCATGGCATAGGCGCCTGGTCAGTGAGGGTAGGGAGGCAGGACATAATGTTTCACAGAGCTAGACGGAGCCGACCAGGACACCCTGAGCCATGATGGCCGCAGCCAGGATGGCACGCAAAACACGCCTCCCGTCAGGTCGGGGGCTGCGCAGCGAAAGCGAGGCCAGCACGGTCGGGAACGTTTGCTTAGCGCGTCGCGCCGCCAGCTCTGGCCCACCACGCTTCGGCGCGACTGGCTAAGCAATTCCCAGTCCCCAAGCATCAGCCTTCCGAGCGTGTCCCGGCCCCCCGTCCCACGCAGCAGAGCGACACGCCATCCGCCCGCAAGGCGCAGCGTGTCGCATGGGCCGCCGCTGCGACACGCCGAGCAGAAGCTCCTCCCCGTAAGCCTCCAGCAGCGGGGGCCTCGGAGGTACCCTCACCCAGGTCACCTGCGGGGGCGCGAAGGTAATCGCGCTTCGCGGTCTGGATCAGAGAGACTGCCCCTTTCCAAGGGTGTGGCGCGTGGGCGCGACGGCGCGGAGAGAACCGCGCGTCGCGTATCGCGGGGCGGGCAGGGTCAGGACGGGGAAGGCGGTGGAGGGGGTGAAGGACGGAGGGAAGGAGCGGGACTGACGCCGCTGGCTCTCGCCGTCGTGGCTCGTCGAAGCAAGGGCGACGAGGAGGAGGAGGAGGAGGAGGAGGAGGAGGAGGACGCGGACGAGGAGGAGGAGGAGGAGGGCCAATTTAAATCCAAGAGTCATCAACGATGTTGAGTAAACCTTCCCTTCAAGCTCCCTCTTCATAGGACCCTACAACGGTTCATTTCCACTGATGGAGTTGCCCCGTTGGAAAACACCCGTTCGGAGATCCTGAAGCATGCCAAAACATTGCTCGCGGGCTTTCAACGCCACGGATCAACTTGACTGTTGCGTCTTGACGATCCTGAATCGTGCCAGCACCCACATAATCATGAATCCATCCAAAACACAATTTCTGGTTATTTGATGATGGGAATCCGTGGAACCCTTGCAAATGTTGAAAAAGAATGCACGCCGCGCTAAGGCGAGAGCCACATTTTGAAAAGGAACCGCCCTCAAACCGTGAAGCTCTTGCACATGTTTAAAACGAATGTGCGCCGCGCTATGGCGAGAGCAACATTTTGAAAACTATTCTTTCAATCCGTGACACGATTGCAGTGTTTAATGCGAATGTGCGCGGTGCTAAGGCGAGACATGTTGAAAGTTAGCCACCCTCAATCCGTGAAATTATTTCAGTGTTGTTTAACGAAGGTGCGCCGCGCTAAGGCGAGAACCACATGTCGAAACCACCTGTACTTCATTTGTGAAACTGGTGTCCCTTTTTTAACTTCAGAGTCATACGTGGTGAGGAAATCTCCGGCGACATGCCCGGCCCGCCCTGAAGGGGAGGAGAAAGAGGAGGAGGAAAAGGAGAAGGAGGGTCCAAGTCCAGCATCCCCAGCCGAACCCTGTAGGAACGGGAGGGGGCTGAATTAAGGAGAAAAGTGGGACGGCCACCTCCGACCGAGAGCCCGCGGAGCTCAGACGTCGAGGGGCAACCTCATCGCCACTGGCGCGGGCAGCCAGCGCGGGAACACGAAGGACCGATGGCCAGGAACACATCGATCAAGCGGCCTGCGGGCCGCGGGACGCCTCGAGCACCATGCGGGCTACCTGGGCAACCTCGAGGTCCTCGGGGGAGAGCGCGGCACGCTGCGCCTCCACCGCGCCCAGGAGGGGCTAGAGCTCCGCAGTGGGCGAGAGGCCGAGCCGCGTCGACAGCGCCGCCCGCTGCCGCCCGAAGCGCAACCACCACGGGTCCGTCACGCGCTCTGTCTCTCCCTCTGCATGCCCGTCGCCTGCGCCAGCGGCGCCGCCAGGACGGCCAGGCGCCGCGGTCTCCGCCACGCCGCGGCCACGGCGGATCGGGAGGGCGTCAGCCCACTCATCGTCCAGGTCCTCCACGGCCCCCACCTTCTCGACAGCGGGCGCAGTCGCAGCAGCATCGGGTGGGGCAGGAGCGGGGGCAGGCCGCGCGCGGCGACGACGCCGCCGCCGCCTCGGCTTGGGGCCGTCCCCGTCATCCGCCGCCACCTTTTGTGTCCACGACCTCCACGCCGCCATCCAGTGGAGCCCCCTCGGCCGCTGCGCCCGCCGCCGCCTCGCCGCGCCCGCGTCGCCGCCGCCGAGGGTGGCCCGCGCGGGGGATGGGGGCTGCCAGCGCGTCCGCCTCCTTCGGCGCGGGCCGCTCCGCCACGGAGCATCGTATCGGCCACGGCGGCGCGGAGCAGCCCCTCCGCCGCGCGCAGCAGGCGGGTCCCCGACGGGGACCGCCCAGCCGCGGGGCCAGAGGCGGCGTGGACCGCGAGGGGAGCTCCGCGCGCGGCCTCGACGGCGACGCGGAGCTCTGCACTCGGCTGCGTACCCGGCATCGGCGAGGCGGCGACGACCCGAGGGTGCTTGCGACACAACGCGTGTGCGAAATGGATATAAGGAGGAGGAGGAGGAGGAGGAGGAGGAGGAGGAGGAAGAGTTAATACGCTCCTTTCCGCACCACCATCTCATTGCCCTTGCCATCGTTGCCGTTGTACTGACTGTCTGCCTGCAGCCATTCAGACTCGAGAGGTATAGGAAAGAGGAGCGAACTAGCTTGCGCGCGTGCGTGGGGTCGTCCCCCCTTATCGTCGTCGTGTCGTCGGCCGGCCGGCCTCCTCCCTACCACGCATATCTCTCTTACCCGCTTAACGGAACACTCATTCCTTGCCATGACTTCGGCGGAGCCCCCGTGAGCTTTCCTCGCGGAAGTTACCTTCAGGGGCAACCGAGACCACATCGGAACAGAATGCAGGGATAGTTAATGTGCAGGCAAAAAGCTGGTTATCAGCCGAAGCGGCGGCTCAGCCATTGGCTTCGCTGGACATGGGATCAGAGGAAGGAGCGATCGGAGAAATAGAACGTCAAAATCGGCCCGAGCGCATTGCTAAGGAAGGCGCCCCAAGGGCGCGGCCTCTTTCTCTCAATCTTCCTGGAAGACAAGCGTCGGAATCTGTGTTTGCTTTGACAGAGAGGAATTCCCCTATAGATCATCAGATGAAGGAAAGAGTTCAAACGCCAGGCAGAAGGCATGGCTCAGCCAGTGCTACCAACGGAAGGCCATCAGAGATCGCATCAGCGCACTCAAGCCTTAGTACATTAGTTCATACGAACTATGATGAGGAGAGCCCGCCAAGAAACGTTCCCACCAGCTCAGCGGGCGGAGACCGCTACATCAACGAACAAATAACACGTTTTATGATGAATGGGCAGGGTGAAGAAGAAAGCGATGGACAGCCGGAGGAAGAGAGCATTCATTCGATGGAATAGAATGTGGAACATGTTCGCTTCCATACGTCTCTTGGACCATCGTATCGCCCGAATCCTTTACAGAACTCGCCTGACGGGCTCGCCTCAGGCGCGGACCTTTCGGATACCGAAACGATCGATTACGAACCAGCCGAAGCCCTTTAGGGCTGTCCTTGATTCTGATGACGATCTCGGGGACGAAATGATCCCCGAAAGCGGGGAACTAGGCCGTGGAAGAGGGAGCTCCTCGGCTCGGCCGATGGGGCACTCACCTGACGCCACGCGCCTGGTTCGACATTGAAGGGGGCCGACTGGTGTGACCCCACTCTCAAAGACAAAGAAAACCAAGAGCGAAAAAGATGACCTCAACCCCCCACCATTGTCGAATGGATTCAATCGACAAAACCTCGTGCCACCGAGAATGGACCACGAAAGTGCACCAGAGCTTGGTGAACTTATCACGCAAGACGAAAAGGATGAGCAAAAGGAGAAGTCACAAGGTGCCCAACGGAACATGGGGTCGAGAGCGAGGGGGCAGAACGCGCCGACGTCCAGCCGGGGCCGGGAAAAGGCCCCGAGAGCGGGGCATTCTAGCTCCAGAAGGCTCGATGCCCTTGAGCCCCCTCGTCCGTCGTCAAATCGGACCGCGACCAGCTTCTCTATCGGGGGGACTTGCTGGGGCGCGGGCCCTGGATGCCCGGCTCAGGCGGAGAATCGCTGCCCGGGAAAAGCGCGCAAACCGGGGGGTCCTGTGGCCGACCCGCATGTGCTCAATGCTCTCAAGTGTGTCCGAAATGTAGCTCGTCGTGGCTCTGCGAGGAATGCGTTGCGTTGGAAGAGCATAACTGTCGCCGCGTCGCCATCAGAGAGTGGGAAGAGAAACAGAGGCAATACAGAGAGCCAGCATAGGGCAGCAAGTGCACGCGTGCAACAGATCCTTCTGCAAGCGC